GAAATTAACATCTGCGGGTCGACGCGAGCGCGTTGGATGGTCAATCTTGAAACGAGGACTCTAACAAATTACGTGGGATCGTCGATCGAAGAATAAAATGTGATAAATATGTATGTTTCAACTTCTGCCCACGCGATAATCATTTTTCCGTATCGTGTATCGCTATTATATCCATTCTTTGTTTCCGTTTAAAATATGAAAGCTGAATGAGTATCTTAATATTAATGAACTACGTTCGAATACGTAGGTTCATATTTACACTTACAAAAGGATTTTTATCTGACTGATATCTGTCCATGATTGTAAAAAAAACCATTGGTGTTGTACGCCCATCGTACAAGGTTTCATTACGTTTGCTATGCAAGTTTTTATTAAAATGCATTATGCATTGATAAAGAATTTTATTTCAACTAAATTTAAATGCAAACGCTTAATTTGGACAAACTCGAGCAGCAGTTTTTCCCCGGTTTCATACGTTCGTTAATTTTTCATTCCCTTCGCATAGGAACATAGAAAGTGCATGAGTATATCATGCATACCGTGCGACGAAGTTTTAAATCAGGTGAAAAATGTTTCGACCGATGCGATGCATAGCTCGAATAATTCTTTCATAAACTACAAGAGCGCAAACGATTTACAATCGCTCGCAGTTATCACTATAGCAGGGCAGCTTTTATGCAGGGACAATAGCTTATAGAGACAATGACTAGAGGCAAGAGGAACCGAATAAAGAATCGGTGATATTTTTGTCAAACTCGGCAGTAAACCACCCGTTACCCGAAAGGGTAAACGTATAAAATTTCCATTGAATTCGCAAAGTCCACGCGCTCGTCCCCCTTTCTTGTTACACGAGTAACGTAAGAAAAATCAGGAAACAAGAAAACGAGGTCCTTAAATTTCACTCGGCCGTCACGCGACAAAGAGTTCCGTTCGTATTGTTTCGTTAACGTGCAGACATCGTGTGGTTATTTCGGTATCAACGGTGCACCAATCTTTTCCACCGGAAATGACTCTTGGCGTAACGAGATATCTCTGTGGAGACTCGTTTCTCGCTACGCACGCATTCTGAACTTCAATCTTCGCTTCAGAGAAATTATCAGAATCTGACCGAGGAATCGTTCGATAACGCGAAATAAATTATTCAAAGAATATCAAAATCGAATTCGACCGACGAGAGTCTCAATGCCGAATACAGCTCTACAAGCAATAATGAATTGATTTCTTTATTACGTTATTGTCTACCTGACGGCCGACGGTAATTAATGGGCAACAAATTAATTTGTATTGACCGTGTAATACGTCAGGTCCGAGTAAATATCGTGAGACGATTGTTTATCGTTGAGGGATCGCTGGAAAATTTCCATTTCGTTCCAGCACTGGGCCGCTTCCGGTCGGCAGTGAACGAGAGAGAATCGTCGCGATCCGTTGGCGAAAACAAATGCAAATTCACTGTCCGCGCGGTGGACGCGGACCGGTGGTTATTATAGCAATTAATTAAAATTCCTGTCATTATACATCCTCCTCCTGCGGGCCATGAAACCATGCGTGAACCGCTCGGCTCGGTTCGGTCACTTTTGCATGCACCCTCGCGTTAAGGCCTTCTGTTCGTGTTTCTGATGACATACTACAGCGATTGGAAATTACCGTGCGCGTACGCAACGGCAATGATACCGAACACGCTTTTGAAAACACGTGAAACGAAAACGGCTACTATCCACGGTAATATGAAACATCCCGTTCCGAGTCTACTTTACTCGAACGCGTCGAATAGGATACGTGTAATTTGTAAATCCTCCCTTCCTTTGGGCTAGTTACATTAATGAGCTACAGAGTATATTTACGCGAGCTGACAGCTCCAACAGGAAACCTCCACTTTTAAGTATACACGCGAACCACCTATAGATATGCAACCTTATCACTGATATCAAAAATATAGCTGGTACTTCATATCTGTTAATCTGAACAGAAGTTATCATATCTTTTCAGACATTCCTGAATACAGAGCATGGATCCACTTATGAACGGATAAGAATTGCAAATTTTATAAGACTTCGTAATAAAATGAATGATTTTAACTCATTTATACGAATGTGCAATGTGAATGTAATACGAAAGAATACAAATAGGCACGCATTTTTACGTCTGATTGTTACAATTCGTAAAGGTTTTAATGGATGAAGGGTACTCTAAAAACCTCGACAAAACACTTTCGATTGAATAACAGAGACGGAGGCAGGGACATTAAATCGAATTGAAAAGGATTGTGGTTTAACAGAGGATCGAACGAAAGAGGTGGAGGAGGCATCGAATATTTCATAGCAGGAGACATGGCCGAGCATCGAGAGTCGCTGTGAATGCGGATCAGTTCTGTAGAGCGTGATTATTCGACCCATTTTGCTTGTAATTCTATCGAGTATAAAGACTGCTTCTATTTGAGGTTTAAGGAAACGTAAATCAAGAGCCGCGGTGAATACGGATCAGTTTTCTAGAATATGTTTACCCGACCTGTTTTCGCATCATAATTCCGCCGAGCGCCAGGGATATCTGTTGCACTGCGATGATGATTTGAAAAAAAAAAAGGAAGAAACGGAGGATCGCGAGCGAGCGCAACCGGTCGATCGAAAAAATTCTTAATTAGCGTTACGACGAACTTCGACTGAATTACGAGTAGTAAGAATAATGAACATGAAAAGTTCGGATCAAGAAGTATTTTCATGGTTCCAGTTCTTCAAAGGTAAATGTAACGTGGCGTTTGAAGGAAGTTGCTCTTTGTAAGAAAGTTCCCGTAGCTAGAATAGTTGCCGAGTTGTACTTCGAAATTCTGCCATGTTAATTCGAACACAAGGAGCCTTAAAGAAGCCCAAGCGAGCTATTCAAATTCAAATGGGCACGCTTGACTATTCCAACAAGTCTCGCAAAAAGAGAGTCTTAACTCAGTTACCTCTACCAACAAAATTTATGTATGTGTTTACTAAAAGAAGATATTTTCACCTAATTTCAGTTATAAAATATGTCCAATGATTTTTTTCTCGTCAATCCGTACGAAGATTATTAACGAACGTTTAAATAGGTACTCGAACAACGTTGAAAGCTTGTAATTAAGCGCGGTATGAGTCTTAAACAGAAAAATGGCATAACTGACCGACACGAGGACCGAGAGGCTTGTGTGCTAGGGATTCAATGAGACCGCCTCGTGGCTGCGTTTGCGTTATGTAACGTAACTACGTGGTGTAACGGGGTGGTTGGCGGTGTGGGCTTTTACATTGTCCGTTTCTGTGCCACGCACCACCTCCCCCTGCCCCCACCTGGGGTGCTTTCGACGCTTGGGGACAAAAAAAAATCGATAGCCTCTCTCCGTACGGTTGGCCGTCTCTCTCTCTTTCTTTCTCTCCCTGCATATACCATCATCCCCCAGCGTGTGTGTCTCCGGTTTTGTGCGCGCCGCGTGTGTGCTCCGTGTACACCGTGTGTACCGAGTTCTCTGGCTGTTCCGGGCATGCGGCAAAAAGGTATACAAGCGAGTAACAAAGCCCACGGTTCTCTTTTTTTTTTTACGTTTATACACATTTCCGACCCTCTGTCACGGCAAGTTTGGCCACGAGAGCGACGAAACACGCGTCACCGAAAAGCTACGAATTGCGGGCGAACCGACTGCACATCTTCTGCATAAATAAATTACGTAAAGCTTTACGACACGTCGACACGTTCAGAAATAATTACATGGGTATTACCGTGAGGTAAGCTTGTCGTTAAAATTTTAACCCACTTTCCCGCGTTGTCGTTTCCACCGGGTCCCATTAAAAATCTCCGCTACATACGAACACACGTATCAGCTCGTGGTATATCACGTCATCATTGCGTTTCATAAATACGTATCGTATTTTATAAAAAATAACCATGTAACAAATCAGACGATAGGTCATTTTTCATTGAAGTTATTTCATGACGACTGCTATTGTATTCTCCCATTTGAGTTACACTTTTATCGAAACTGTTCACGATTTATTATACGATGTATATAGAACGACGTAACGGCTGTTCATAATGATACGCAATGGCGATACGATTCACGGGCGCGATACAATTGGACGCGGGATTTTTTATGTAATTTATGCGAACGAGTAATATGTGCCAGCGTGATGACCCGATTAACCTATCCCCTTTAGGAGCGAGCAACAAATCAAAAGTTCCGCGTGCTCTTCGATGACGATCTAGTGAACCGTTTCGCTTTGATGCTCTCCTCGCGGGAGCGAGAGAACCGGGACGACTTATAAATCACGTCGACAATCGGGGTTAGTGCAGGCACCCTTGGAAACCTGTTCCCCGGAGCGTCTCGTCGGCCATTGTTCCGCTCAATTTCGAACTTTCCTGACCCGCTGTATATAAAAGGGTCGCGTCTAATCGCACGTATCACGCATGTTAATTAACAGACCCGGGGCCCTTTGTACGTCGCGAACAACCACGCGAGATAACCGTAAATTGCTTTCAATTTAACGCGCGAACGACCGGCTGGGGACAATCATTTGTCGGAGGATCGCCAACTGTGCGCACCTCCTCTCGCCGCCTCCGACCAATCATTCTTTTTTTTCCGAGTAGTGCGAACGACCAGATAAAATTAAATTAACCTGCCGACGACTTTCAAATTTCGTATTTTGTTCGCACGAAATCGATGTATATATGAAACCAATCTGTTGTGCAATCCGGGTCCGATCGATACGGATGATATTACAAAATTTTATGTACTCGCTATGTACTCGTTTATATCCCACAAGAAATTAAAAACTGCTAATAAACAAACATTTAGCTCTTTCACAGTTCAATCGACTTCGAATCGTCGATCGTAAAATTCAAGACAACGAATTGAAGACGGCGATCAGTCGAGGTAACGAGAGATCGGCCCTCTTGCACGGTCTTCGTGCAACGTGCTCTCTAATTGTACGAGGAAAACAAAACGAGAGCTCACAAAAGGATTAAGTTAATGAGATAAATGTAGTACTTACCTATTTTTCTCCAGCTCGTTATGAGTCGTCCTGCAGCAGAAAAGAACGTTCTTGTTAGACTTCAAAGCGGTGAAATCGTTTGCTTTGCGATGGTAAGAAAGAAAGGGGAAAAAACGTCGGTTTCAAGACCCAACGAAAATTAAAACCGGCGAAGAATAAAACTTTCGCGTTGCGCACGGAAGTTCTTTTTTTAAATCAAGCACAATCGAGTCTTGATTTTATTTCAAATAAAACAAGAAACTTCTACTTCATGTTAATGAAATGATTTTAAAAATTAAATTTGGAAGCTTGAAAGTTTTCTCGCGAAACAAAAGATAAATCACCATCGCACTACGAGATTTAAAATATCAGCCGATAACTGTTTCACAGTCTGCTTCAATTCTGTGTTGATTAGGGACCGCACTTGAAGCGAGAGTTCGATGACCTCGCGCAGTCATCTGCATTTACGACGAAACGATTTTTAAAACCACATTTTACATCGGCTACGCACAAAACAAGTGGTCGACCTTCATCACGCTGATAAGATATATTCGACAGCGCTTTGTTGCGGTTAACCTTGCGTGATAAATCAGTAAACTCGGTTGCAAGAAAATACTACGACTCTCTAACATCACGACTTTATCAATACAGCTATTTGTAGATGATTGATGCGTAATTTTAAAACGCGAACACATAATCAATTTAAATTTCAAGCTTCCGAATTCGTTAACTCGTAAATACAAACCCATTTATATCATTCATTTGCCAGCCATAAATGTACAATGCAATATTTCATATAATAATTTTCATAATGCTACGATATTTAATACAATGTTTCACATATTAATTGATATAATAATTAATACATTAATTGATACTACATTTTCTACAGCTACAATGACCGATATGACGTTATGTATTTATGTAATAATAAGTAATACACAGAATGTGAGTCAATAAATAATACCATTTGATATGATTAAAAGAAACTTTTTACGGACTTACCATAAGACAGTGCTCATAGATAGAATCCTATATTTTATCAAACAAAAATTTCAAATAGTACTTCATATCAATTTTGTATAATTATTTTGAATGACCAGAGAAATTGATATGATGTAAATGGGTTAAGAGTAGATACGTCAAATTAAATATAATATCGCTAACCGTGGATTTTATAATATTTTAAAAAAAGGACGGTTGTAGAAAGAAACAAGTAAAAACTACATAAAAGCGAAGTCATCGTGTAGAAGGCTACGAACCTGCTGCCCTGGGATTTTTTCGTCTTTGGCCTTTTTGTGATCGTCCGCATATCATCGGGCATCGGCATCGTCGAAGCGTAGCCATGTTCAGCTTCTGCAATGACAAACCAATCGTTTCGGTGAGTTCTTCCGATCCGTTCGCATCGCGCGGATACCAAAAGATATCGGGGGAAGGGGGGGAAGCCTAAGGGGGGAAAAAAGTGCGCTCCGTACGCTCGACGCTCGCTCGCTCGCTCGCTTGTTCGCGGCTTGAACACGACTCGTTAAACCGCGCGTACACACGACCGTGCTGGAATAAAGTCACGTTCCGTCCTGCCGACATAACTTACTGTGGCATTAAAGCCAGTGGTGGGCAACTCGGTTGCTTCGGAGGGAAGCCACGAGCATAGGTGAATTAACTCCGATCCGGTATAAACGAGAAAAAATTAAATACAGAGAGTATGCGACTAACAGTAAAAAGTTCGGAACCAATTTTTTGGCACGCGACTTTAACTAAAACAAAAGTAATAGAAATTACTTTATAATTCTGCCTTGTATAATACAAGTACGCTTTGTCTCGTTCCTTTTGTCACGGTTTCAAAACTTTTAGCCGACGATGTACGTACGTAAACGGTATAATCGTCGCGAAGATATAGCTGGATCTTTAAAGTCAGCTACAAGTAAACATACACAGAGTGTTACGATAACCTTCGGCCTCTGCAATTAACAATACGGGATACCCGGAGCACGAGCTTCCTATCGCTTAACTAGTTTTACGAGCCAGTTATATTTCTGCCACAACTAAATATCCCCGGTCGCTCATTCGACTCTTCCTGTTATCTCACCAAACTAAACAAACCGAAACCAGAGTCTTTGACGGCGTCCACTGCACAGTAGTCAGTTGCAACAGCTGCACATTTCACTCAATACCTCTCACTTTTAATAAAACCGAAAGGAATTCCTGAAATACACGTTGGATATACTATTCCTCAAACAACATTTTTGGCCACCGTTTCGCATTCGCACCTCGGATAATCGCGACGATAAACTCGATTTAATATCAAACCGAGTACATATCATCTATTATTTATATAGTACTTTATATACAACCGTTATTATGCAGATGCATCCTACCATATACATCGATATATTTAATACTTATATGACTATGATGTTTCGAATATATTCTAACGATACCGAGAATCTCTGTGTACGAGGTGAAGGGAGAGGCTTTGCTAGGCTGCTCTCAAGAATCGCTGCGCTGCTCTCGAACTTCAAGAGCACGAGTTGCCTATTGCTACATTAAAGTTTCGCCTGAACATAAACTAGCCACAGGAAAGGGAGAAACCGGCCCCGGGACGCGAAAAGCGCGGAATTTATGTTACGATTTCAGTTAACGCGCGCCGTATACTCGGGGAACTCGCGAGCAACAACTGATGACGGTATCGCACTGAATTTTTGTACAAATCCAAAGTATCCGTCATGAGCATCACGAAAATGTAAATTAAAAGTACTATTAAACATTGATCCGATCTTGTGAGCCAATAACATTCACATTCTGCATCATTTAGTATTCTGTCTTATTAAATAAGTGAAATGTTACCCCTTTACATTGTAATTCATGATAATGAAATGTAATACAGTATCAGTGATCGCTAAGGCTGATTAAATAAATAGATTGAAATGTTAGAAGAGTCTCCGTGGAACTTTTCGTAGAAAATTCGTTAATAAAAAGTATAGTACACTTCTCGAGTGATAATTCACTATCCTCGAGTTGGTAAAACATGATCTTTGACAATTTTCCAACAGGCCATCCGAAAGAGCTCCTCTCATCCGCGAGGGAATGCAAAAACTGTTTGCCTAGGAAAGTGAAATCCGGCGAGAAGAGTCAGACGCGGCGATGCTTCGCATTCTCCAGTTCCTCGCTACGTAGAAATTCTTCCGTCGAGCGACAAAACAACGTTACAAAAATAGCCGCGACTGTAATTTATCACGAAAATTGCGCTCCCGTATGGACGTCGGGTGCGGGCAGCTCGTCCGACTCGAGTTCGGGACGAGAAATTGATACAGTGAAGTTTCGTGTATCTCGATGTTAAACTCATCGAAGAATAAGAACTAATATTTCTCAGAGTATCACGGGAAGAAGAAGTTCCAGGATTTTCTCAAATTCCATGTTAAAACAATATGCACGAGGCAAATAAATGCCTCCTCCACTTTATGAAAATACTTATATGACAATTACATTATATGAAGAACGAAATCTAATAAGACGACTTAACATTTGAAGGTTTACACAGCGGAACTCCAGTTTTATGAACATATTTAATTTACCAATATTCGAGCGTATCATGTAAGCGGATACAGGGAGGACTCCTGGAAGTGAGGACGCAGGATGGACAAAAACTGAACGAAGCGGCGGCGGCGAGGAGGCTAGTCGCCATAACGAGCGGCGTAAATTATAAATGCCTCCTTTCGCCGTGTCTTTCGTCCGATCCTCATCATCGTACAACAGGCTTAATGGCAGTCGGTGAAAAAGAACACGCGCTCGCGCGAGCGTACGGCCACGACATCGACCATCTGTCTCCTCGTGAAAGAAGAAAAGCGTCTCTCGTTCACATGCCATGACCATAAGGCCGCCTCATGCAAAAGAGAAATTCGCCTGGTGAATAGCGCGGCCAAGTTACGGGCGCGTGCAAAAAGAGAGGAGGGGAGGGAGAGAACCTTATGGAACTCGTTTGCGCATTCATAGAGAGAGGGTTGAGCAACCACGCATTTCCAAAAATTCGAACAAAACTGTAGGCTGTACGCTGCGTGGGACCTATGGAACAATGTATCTCGAAAAGAATAGCAGATTCTGTTTCTATCGTCCCTTTTTTCTCTCCGGCTTTCACCAGCTTCTCATGCTTGAAAAATTATTTATGCTCGTTGGGAAACTTAATGCTCTCCTTAGTTAGAAACAACCTAATTAATAAATAGTTAGAGCTGAGAGAATTAGCTCTATAAATGGACAAAATCTATTCTCATTGTAAGATATTAAGAATTGTAATGTTCAGTTCAAAAGAAACTAGATAAAACATTTTAATTAAAAGCACTTTACTGCTATGTGATTCGATTATTTTGACAAATTAAAGGTATTACATTTTGCTCCAATATATTCGTCTAATTTAAAAATCAGTAAGGAACTCGAGTGGAACCTAAAAGTATGTATTGATCACAATATAATAGGAGCTGGTAATTATTGTTTGCAATAGTTGCTACAATAGTTTGGCACTTCACTTCGCATTTCGTATCTAAGTTTGGAGTGAAATTTCACCCATGATAATCTCCAAGGATTAACTACAATTTCCCTTCGCTCGAGACCACATACAACATGTTTTAATGTATTACAACTCACTAAACGTAACAACTAAAACAGTTCATACCTTTCGCCAAGTCTGAACACCGGAAATTCTCTGGATTAACCCAAACAATATAGCATATCGATGATTCCACATGTACAAGTTTTTAAAAAAAAAAATAATATAATTAATTTTTTAAGAAAAAGTAGCAGACGAGGAATTGAAAATTAGCTTCGATACGATCATGTGTCTTGTTTCTCTCCAGACCGGAATCGACGCGGGAGGAACGAGTTCTTCTTGTATAGCACTACAGTCGATAGAAGGAGCTCAGCGTAGTCGGAAATTAAAGTTTCACGTTGATATCCATTGACACTATAAAACTCAGGAGTACCCAGATTATGTTACAGTGTAAAACAGGAATAAGCAGAAGTCGATCGAATATGTTCGGCTAAAGTTCTCACCTACGGAACTTGAAACGAAATTGGAACTGAAATATGCACGGTATACATATGCATGTACTCCATGCATGCAGTACCGAATGAAGCCTAGCATCCTTGACACCCATAATGTTTTACGACTTCGCTTGATTTCATCTATTGACTGTGCCTACATCAACTCGTACGAGTTAAGACGTATGCTACTTTAAGCACACAATGCAATAACTGTTCGTAAATGAAAAATCTTGTAACTGGTATGAGACGCTTAAACGAAAGAATCGGTGGCCATGTTCCACTTCAATAAAAATTTACATTCAGCTGCAACACACTTCTGCATCTCCAACTTATTCGTTCGTTAACCCCTTCGACTCTATCTCTCTCTATTCCTTTCTCTCGACTCCCCCGCCCCCTTTTAACCCTTCCCCCACGTTCCCTCTCAATCCAATCCTTTTATGCCTCCCCGTCTTCCTTCCTCTTTTTCTCTAGAACGCCTCGTCTTCCATCGACTTTCCTTTTTATGAAAACGACAGAAGAATCGGAAACGCGTCGCTGAAATCGTCAACCGAGCAATTCAACGTGAACTCTGCTCTCGACGAGAGCGGAATTCCTCTTTCGCAGGACAACGATTTTATTTTACGTTCGTCGGCCGCACAACTCTCGCGAAATTCGCAAACACCAAACGTGACACTGGTTTAATCCTCCGTAACTGTGTTTCCCTTTGCTTACGATAACAGGTAGTTCTCAAACGAAAAGAACTTGAGGATGTATAAGTTATACACTTAAGCAATGCTAGCATGTGGAATTTGTTATTATAGATTCCTATTACTATTAAAAAACTACCTGCAAAATTTTAAATCAATTCATGGGTTTCTTGAAGAATTATTAGGAGGACCCTTTTTGTATCTGACAACTACATTAGCATATAACTCATTGTATCAATTATACGAAACATTGTATCAATTTCTATAATAATTATTGTATCTTATAAGAAATATAATGAGTTGCTATATCATTCGTTACATAAAACGTTCTACCAATTACTGTACGTCTCATTACATGAAACATCGAAGCAATTTCTTACACGAAAGATGGTATTAATTTTTATTATAGCGTTGTACAATGCAAATGGGTCAACTGTCTTCCATTCTTCTATCAAGTGAATTAAATAGGAATGATGTATGAGACCAATTAATTTCGGGTGGACCGTAATAACGGTTATGTCGTTTCCGTGAATTTTTTTCCAGGGAAATCGTGCCAAATAGACCGATTAAAATAACGTAACAACCTTATCTCGCGTACCCTCGAGCAATAATAGTTAATGCTCGATCGACGATCCGTCGTGATTCCCCCTCGCCCCTTGTACTTCTATCTGCCCCTATCTGCCTTGACGAGAGTGCGGCCAATAAACCGAAAGCTCTTTCTGGGTCTTGCCTATGTAGTATATGCTCCTCGTGAACAAACGCGCGCACGGAGAACGTCCCTCTCCGGTTGGTTCGCGTGATGCGAGCTTAAACCACGAGAGATCGATGCACGAGAACGGAGTAGAGTAGGGTGAGCGTAGAAACAAAGAAGCCGTTCTTTTGGGGTGTTAGCCCGAACATGTGTTCAACGCGAGTGTAAGTGCGTGCATATCAGAGTTTTAAGACGGCTAAAGCGAACGGTACTACATGATACGATTTCTGAATATTATCATCACGATAACAGGTGTACTTGCTCTTTACGGCTCTATTTTATTAATATTAACAAATAAGCATAAGTATCTCACGACGGTTAAATCTGTCTACAGCTATACTGTGCACATACTAACTTGTGCATATGAGTACTGTATACGCGTGTGTGTATCCGTACGTGGACCTAAACAGAGTAGCTATACGTGATGCGAGTGCTCTGTACTCGGTACCACGAGAATCTTAAGAGAAACAGGAAAGAATTACGACACCGTAAATCTCGAAAGGCTATTCGAAAGCGAAATGTGGCGTCGCGGAAAAATGCAAGGCGACAGCCGTTTATTGTGATCTGTGTATTTTTGTTATTTATGTCACGTGCGGCTTTCGCCACGGCGAAAACAGATTTGTAACGCTGGCAGCGCCGGCTATTAGTATCGGTTACGTGACAGCGAATTTAAAAGAAAACCGTGAAAAAAAGAGGAAACGACTTTAATATAAAGCGTTACGTCGCGCCGCGTAGCCGGGGATGGAACAGAGGATTGTTTACGAAAACATTCCTGTGAATCATCGACGAGACAAAGTGGCCGCAGAGATATTCATGCAAATGCGGCCAATAAGTTCGCGCCGATAACAAGTCGTTCTCAATTAAATCACCATTAACTGGTGCGTGTTGTTCTAGAAAACGGTCCCGAGCAATTGCTACGGCAGTCGGCAACCAAATTAAACATTTACCTCAACCTTGAACCTTATCAGTTCAATTATCTGCAAATTTAATTATCGGACGCTTGCTTTCAATACTCTCGATACCGTCTATAAATAGGGGTTCTATTTAAATAAGAATTAAAAGGGAAAATAATAGAAAGCGATTGGTTATTCGTTATACGTTATCGATATGCAGAAAATCAAATCATTTACGTAGCTGACAATAACAATTTCACGCTAATATCAAAGTAATACTGACTGTAAAACATCAAGAAATGAAAATGTTCTTCAGACATCTTTAAATTAACTTCATATTGATATTGATGATGTTCTGACTGATATTCTCGCTGTTGTCTATTAAAATTAGGCGTTCACAGAATTTACGGAGACGCGTAACGCATTGTTAACTGGAACAAATTTAATTGGAAGCCGTTAAAACTCTCGCCATAGAATCAGTCCCGGGAAGTTTATTATCGAACCGTGTACAAGATCCGTGGTGCAGCGAAATGCAAGAGAAATGAGATAACGCGAGAATTCAGCACGCACGCACGCGGCCGAGCAAACGCAGCATCGGGCTACGTCGCAACGGTATTATAAGTGGAGTGATAAAATGAGATCATCGTTACCGCTTCCCCGCGCTCACTCACGCACACCTACACCCTATCTGTTCGCACTCGTACACTAGCACGTAGGCGACCTACGCGCACATCGACGCGTCCGTATCGCGTGTATCGCGAAAAAACAGAACGCCGCGTATGTATTCGCCCGATGTGTTTACCGCTCGTTGGCCGAAAAACGAACGTGCACCGCGACACGATGGCTACACAATTCAGCCAGTATATACATACGCTACTTACGCGTTGCGTCAGAGAAGCGCACATAACGGCGAAGGTCATACGTTCCAAAATACACGGAGCGTAAAGGAAAAAATCTCGACGAATGTATTTAATGAACGCTTCGACTGTTCCAATAAAATTCCTAAACCACATGTTTACCACTCGACTGGAATAACGACTGATGGAGATCATAAAAATAATATGTCCTACAGCAGGGCTTCTTAAACTATGGGTCGCGACCCCAAATGGGGTCGCGTAGCAAAATTTTGACGACTGTAATGGTAACTCGCAATCATAAATGGGGTCGTGAATGACAAAAGTTTAAGATGCCCTGTCCTACAGTGTTCACGGATTCATTGAATAAACCGCATTGATTGAACCAAGTACATAGTTTTCTCTCGGAGCGTATTAGTGAATATCCTACCAGGAAACGTTTCGAACGCACGTGTGCGTATTATATATTTAAAGAACAATCAACGTTGATAATATTTTTCCGTAAAATATGAATCAGACTTCAGTTCCAGGCAACCATCGCGATATCGGTAGAAAGAAAAACCGCGAACGTAGAAGCAGTGAAGCTAGGAAAGGCGTAATAACAAAGGTCGCCTTCCGAGATCCAGCGACGGCACACGCGCGTTCGTTGCCATGTGCCAATGACACGGCACACGAGTGTACGTACGGCGACTACAGTGGAACTTCGCAATGTTCGACGGGCGCAGTAGAAAAAGGCGCATATGTACGCACGCTACAGACAGAAAGTTCGGAAGCATCGTAACTCTCGAAGGATAGATCACTAAAGGAAAATAAGAAAAGTAGACGTCAGAGTTCGTCTTTTATAGAATAAAACGTGACTTACACAGCCGGCTGCAGACAGTTTAAAAAATGCAAGCTATCCTATTATTTAAAACCTTCGGACAGATAGTTAATTATTTATGAAAACGGACGTTTATTCTGAATATCGTCGGATTCGTTACTCGACTTATGCTAGAAGGAAAATGCATGAAAGTTGACGGTTCTCCGTCGATGATCGAATGTAAATGCGACAGGGTTTTAATACTCACCTCGTTCCCTTCGTTCAATATACTCGGCGGCCTGTAGTAGGGCAGCAATGCTCATATTTTCCCGGTTTGGCGTAATTCTGGCGGCTTCGGTTCACTACTCTTTCCCAGCAATACCGGTACACACACCGACGATTACAGCCGCGCGCGGACGATGCAAAACGCACACGATAAAACGTTCAGAGGCGCACACCACGAGAAACAGCGATAGTACCGTATACACCGCGGCGATCCGTTGTTGTTGTTATTGTTGTTGATGTTGGCTAACGCTGGTGTTGCCGTTTCTCGAACTTTTCTCTCTCCGGCCGCCTGTTCAACCGCCTCTCCTTTTTCCTCCCCCTCTTCCACCACCTCGCCACCTCTTCCTCCTTTTTCTCGTCCGTCCGCGCGCCTCGCTGGCTGCGTTTGCTTTAGGTGCACGTAACACACACGCACGCCAGACTAGCCCGATTTCAAACGCGCACTAGATTCGCGGACGGCAAATCGATGGCCAGGCCTCTTCAACTGCGATACGCATCAAGAATCGTCTTTATTCCGTTTTTACTTTATCCTTCTACTCGACGGTCTCCTCGAGTCGACTGTTTTCGCGGTATCGGTTTACTCCCTCGCAGCTTGTTTTCAACGTAGACGACTATCTCGCTCGCAAGTTCCTCTCTATCCTACTCTCCAAGTTCCTCTTGCCCTTCTTCTTGCACGCTGGTTCACGTACCTTTCCCCTATGTTCTATACGTGTCTTTCTCTCCCCTTCGACGGCGTTTCACTTCACCTCTCCGTGGCGTTATACTCGTCTCCTTTTCCCTCGTTCTTTCTTTCTCTCTGACTTAGTGACCTCTCGTCGGTTCTCTTCTTTCTTCACCTTCGTTTCACAACATTCACTACGATCACACCAAAGATCACACGTGAAAAAATGGAGAATCAACGGACCGATAGGATATGGTACCCGAGGCGAGAGAGAATACGACGCACCGCTGCTCCAACACTTCCTTACACGGAGTCGCGTGCGAGCGAACCGAAAGCGTGCGAACGATATAACGCACGACGACAAAACAGAGACGGGAAGAGAACGCGCGAGAAAACGAACGAGCGCGAATAGTGCAATTGGAAAGAGGTACACTATAGTACAGTCACTAGGCGAGTCGAAAGGGTCGAGATTACGCGTGTCGCTAGTATAATTTATCGCGGACGCGAGCGGACGAATGCGAAAGAGCCTGACCTCGATCAGCGCACACGGCCGGGTGGTTCTACCCGCAGATACGCGAGTTGCTTGACGAACTATGTATTATTTTTGGTCGGGACACCGAGCGATCGTGTACAGCGTGCATGTGCATGCGACCACTTTACGTGCCGGCTACTTGTTTTGTGCAGCGTCCTTGAACGCGTAGATCTCACCAAGAACCGTGCATCGAACGGCCAACGGAACGAATCTATATACAGCGATAAATAATCCGTACAGTCTACGAATTATCGTCTAATGCGTAGTCACCAAAACGGAACATAATACAATAAGGCCCGACGCGCGATTCTGAAATTGATATTTTAATCGAACCGATCGATTTTTCTTGACGCACACACGCGTAACTCGGTCAGCTTCGCGCGAGGTGAACGATTCCGATAAAACTCGCGCAGTATGCGTTTAGTTCGCGGCAACGAAAGGACACATACGCAGAGCAATGTACCAATAAAACCGCAACTTACTCGTCAGAGAAAATGTACGTTGTCACGTATAAAGTACACGGTGAATCTTGTAGAAATTCGCATGATACGTGGCCAATCACGGTAATGCTCGGTACTCGCGTGTTTCACGTTCACGATGAGCACACAGAAAGGCGCTCCCTTGATTCTGTTCCCGACTGGATTGCAAGCGACTTTTAGTATACATGCACATTATACCACCGCACAAACACGCCTATATGCACACGCGCGTAAACCCGAGTGAAAATACGTGTATATATGCGATCGGTAACGAGTGTCGTGTTCCCATACGTGAAACAACAACGGGCAACACAGTGGGTACGTGCATGCACACACGTCCGCCGTTTACAGAGAAACGTCGTTGCGTGAATACAGCGCGAGGCGAACTGATACGCAATAAGTACGCGAAGCAACCTTAAGAATCACGCGAGTGTATACCGTGTATCTGGCAACACGTTAACACTCGTTTCTGACAACAGAACCGACGTTACCGTCGTGTATACCTATTCGCTGTGTATGGACGTGTACCAAGAAAACGCGTGCGTACGTATGACGTCGAGGACCGAGTGTATTTCGACCCTATCGTCCACCTAGTGACATTTGGCACGCCGGATATGTTCGCTCACACACGAAAGTAGGCGCAGCTGAGCGACGACGTAAAGAAAGACGGTCACTGTGGGTCGGCACTGCCTTAACACTACTACTGCACAGGTTTTCGCGGGTACAAAGGGGGTCTAGTCAGGACAAAGAAAAGGTGGCTCGAACTGACCGACGACGACGAGCCCACAAACCCCCGACGACGACGACGACGACGACGACGACGACGACGACGACTACGACAAGCCGACGAGCGAGCGACAGCCTGATACCTCCGCACTTCGCGAGCACTCTCACGCATTTATCGATGTCAAACGTCTCTGCACCGTAGAAGCACCAGGCGTCGTTTCTTACGTGACCGCTGATTGGCCGAGTCGTGCGCGAGTGCACTACCCTGACCAATCGACGTCGACAACACGGCGCTGCCGTACGAGCCGCCACCAGCACCGGTTGTGTCACGTGAATCTCATGCCCGAAAACAAAACAAACAGCTGGCTTCCTTACACGCCTGCCTCGCTCTCTTGCACGCTACCGTACGTTGCGTGTGCTTTCGATGCACGATATTTGTGGACTGGCTACACCCTTTTCCATCTACGATGCACTAAAATTGACAAACTGTTAACATTGGAATAATATATCGATAACACGCGCCTCTGCTGCCGATCGCATCAGAAATCAGGTGTCGACGATCGAACAATTTTTACTTCGTAAGTACACAATTTTTAGGCTTGTCAGACTTCTTACTACGTCTTCTTCTGATCGTATAAAAACAGTAGTCTATGTACCGTTCGTGAGATTCTATCGAGCATAAAAGCTTCGCAACATCATTTTAGCTTTCACTGCGTTAACTATTTTAAGAATAGCGCGTTTGAAAATTCATATAATCGCGCCATCTCCGGAATCACACTTAACCGTCACTCATACTTTTTAAATTGGTATTTCAGTATCTATTGGGATCTACGCTGCGTCCGGCATGGTGTTTGAATCTAATGGATTTATGGTGCGATTCGATAGCAGTTGAATGATTTAATGAGTTATAATAGTGTAAAGTGATAAATAAACATCGGAGGGATAGAATATTGAATCCTGTGCAGATCGCTGCGATTTTCATCAAAGGTTAGATGAATTTCCTCGGGAGGACAGTTGCTGTTCCTACGTAAAGCTGACGACCAATTTGTAAGTACGAACAATATGTCATTTTTACGTATATTGTATTTGATTTCAATAATAACAGCGAAAATTTGGAGGAACGCAAGCATATATTTATTAGTACATGTGTTTGAATGATTTTTGTTGTTTTTACTTCCTAGGGTAGTTATTCTTTTGCTTTGGTTCGATTGTGATACGAAAATCTGCATTTGCAATATGTTTATGAGTTATATATTTTGAATTAACATTTTTTCTCGAAAATGTACAATTAAACGTAATTGAATCAATATTTCGAATAAACTACATCGAAAATATAAATTATACACTTTTGTATAAACTTAGGTTAAACAATGGAAATGGACAAGGTTACTTTTCTTACTTTGTCTTTATAAACAGTTTTATTTTTTAATAAGTTACTGATTAAACAGGTACAAAATATAAATTGAGCTATTGTTTGATGAATCTCATAAATTTATTTTTTTCTCTTCTGTTCACAATTGATGAATGGTTTCCTTGAAGTCCTTGCATAAAAATGCATAAAACTGTATTACATTCTTGACACAGGGTGAATATCAAGTATTGCAAGTGCATTTCGAAGTACAACTTGCAATGCATGTAACATGTACAGTCTTGCAGTCATTGTTGGAATCAAATGATCATATGCTTCCTATAATCAAAGTTACATGAATCAGTAATTGTAATTAGATTGTATATATTAATTAAGAAGCAATACTAACAATTAAAATCCTAGTCTTACGGTAATAGATACTGAATTTTGAGCATAGTCTTATAAGAAATATGCATATGGCTTGTGGACATGTTTGAAAGGGTTCATATCTCAAACAGTCCTTTATCATTAATTGATACCTAATAATAAAATTATAGACAATTTCCCACTCGTCCTACAATTTAGAAATTTGTTAACACACCTTTCTCTTCTAAAGATGATTTAGAAATCTTTAAGTAAAATACCTCTTGGTTCAATAGAGAAAAATCTATATTATTGATGTGTGGCAAATTAGGATATTCTCCTCTTGATACTTTATCATTATATTTTTCAATAATAGCTGATATTCTCGCTGCATTATACAATATGAATGATGCACCTAGAAAACTAAAATAATATGAGATATTTATTTCTTTTGATTCTCTAGTAAAATTATTACAAGAACCTTTTGTATTTGTAGTAGCTTTGTCAGTCGCAAAATTGCCACATCCAATAAAAACAGGATGGCTTGGTTTCACAGACAGTAATTCAAACGTAACTGCTGCATTCGCAAGATTTTTAAGGAAATACTCTTCTGTATTTAGATTACACTCTTGCCCTTCAAAATACTTGTGTTCATTTAATGCCTTCAACTCTTTGATTTTGTTCTGAACATAGTCCTGCCATGTTATCTGTGTCTCTTTACAATTTGTTTCTACAGTTTTCACAACGCCACATATACATTTCACATAATTATCTTCTACATTTCCTTGGGATTTAGACGTGAATATAAATTTGTAATCAGCATGCTCGTCGGATATTTTGCAACCATGTAGATTTAGAACTCTTTCGGTAACACTTTGTATCAATTGTAATCTTTTACTTGTCAATTCTGATTCTTTATCCTCGATTGATTTTAAACTATAAACTTTGTTTACTGGAGAAGTCCTCCCAAAGTCACATTTAGATGATACAGCTTCCTTGATTGATTGTTCTATAAGAGGAGCACGTTGCAAAAATAAGCATACTCTTTCTCCTTTTAAGAGATACTTCTCTATTTTTATTGGCCAATTGCTACTATACGATATTAGCAATTGCAGAACCTAAAAAGAACAATATTATTCGTAGACTTAGGTTATGTTTATTTGCCTTAAAATACTTATTTCCTTTATTATTTCACCTTAACTGAGACATATTTATCAGTTTTGTCGTTTATGTCACCAACATGTTTGTGGAAAAAATGTTGCAAAATTGTTGCACACTTCTCAGCGCATTTATCTGTGTTTTTTAACGAGCTTTCCCATGCTTTAAGGCTAAGCAGGAAATATAATTCACCATTTATGGCTAGATTTTCGTTATTTATTTTAACAACTGAAGTATTCTTACAATAATTATCACTTAAGTAGCAAGTTATATTCTTTGCAAGTGTTTGTATACAAATGGGCGATGTGTTATCCATTTGTAACTATAGGTATGTCAGGTTAATCCTGAATCCCAATAAGAAACAGCTGTGAACTGTGAACTACCACTACCACGTAGCTTCACGTATAGAATATCATCAGCTGATTTTTGTTTATTTCTATACGAGTCGGTAGGTTGACAGTTCTTATTACTGAATAAGGTTTGTTGAGTTAAAATTGGAATTAGTTTTCAATATTTTCTTTATTAGAGTCACAAATCGCGAATTGTGCAAATAAGTGATTGTAAATATTAATATTAATGTAATACTTGCTATACTTAAGGTACACGTATATCTTACAAAGTTCTTACGTTATTCCACCTGTAACAAAAGTTGCAGAGTCTGAAGGTCGCGTGCAGAAAATAAATTGAACGTAAGCGTTTCTTGTACATTAAAAAGAATAGTTTAAGAAATGTATCACAGAATCGTAGCGCTTATTAATAGTGAACTCGATGAAGGAAGCCAAATACTGCAATTTATCGAAAATTAAGAGAAAATTACCTTTTATACTACTACAACTAGAAACATTACAAACGTTGTAAATCAACATTGAAAAATCGCACTTTAAGACCCTTCAGATCTCGTAAATAATGTCTTCCTTACTGATTCGACGCATCACAAGAAATAATTTTCTATTTAAAGCTCCTAGGCTCGACTGTTGGTCGGTTTTAGTAAATTTACTCGACCATAGTACAGTAATTGAATTCTATAGTTTATTAATTATTTTCTTTGATATCGGTTATCACATGGAGTGGTGGTACTTGACATACGCTATCGCAGCCAGTTCCTTGCAGAATTCTTCCGTCACGATCACGCTCTCGAACAGAATATTCTCCTTATCCCTAAAGATAAACGCATGTAACATTGTTCACTCGTTAGAAATTGTCCGTCTATCTTTTGTACGTACGTACCCGTCGTGAGAACAACCTTCTAGCAAGCGTTCACGCGTCTCCTTTAGCATTTGCTTGTGGTCCGGCGTCTTTGGTACCTCGTGTACCAGCTGCTTAATGACTTTTTGCAAGCAGATGAACAAGTTCTTCGTGCCGGGTGCCAACGGTAGTAACGGATTCAGTAAAAATTCGTGCAGGTACGGATGAGGTAAAAGCGCCAGCCTCGAGATCACGACGGTCAACTGTAGGTTCACCTCGTACTTTTGCCTTGGTATGTTCGCCACCTTCTCGAAGAGCATCGTAATGAACGGTCCCATGTAAAATCGCACGGAACAGTGATCCGCTTCCGGTCTGGAGTCAGAACTCGCGGAGTCGTCGACGGTAACAGCCTCGAGCGGCCAGGCCATCAGCGAGCAGTCGATCAAGACAGTAGAATACTGCCTCTCCAAGTCAGCCATGTACCGTTCGTAATTGTTCACGTCCGTGTCCGTTTGTAGATACCGCGGGATCAAGGACAGAAAACTGAGAAACATAATTCATGTTAATTAAGTGAAAGATCTTATTTAAATATTATACATATGTCGTGATATTTATGTAGTCAATTATAATTGAGAAAAATTATTGACTGTAAAACGTAGCAATCTTAGTACGAAGGTATGCGAATGTCAATTGACGATGATTTGAAGAAAGAGTTAGTCAACAAAGCCACTAACAATGACTTATTCAAACGACTGGAGTTCCAAACCGGAGTTATTTGTCCGCGCGTGGAACGTTTCTTACCAGTTTACAATCCTATGAATGTTACTAGGTGCCAATGTTCGACTATGATTTTGCTCGTAGGAGAGGTCTAACGATCCCTTCTTCTCCCTCTCTCTTTCGTCCTCTTCATCGCTCCAGGATGCGATCGCACTATCCGCTGCGGTGTTATCATAATAGCCTCGCGTCGATAAGTACACCAATACGAGACAGTGTAACATATGCTCGTTCCGTTTCTCTATCATTTCCTCGAATAATTTCAAGGTTTCCAGCGTTAAATCATCGCTGTCGGTGAAACAATTGTCTATAAGCCTGTGCAGCACCGGCGATGTCCATACATTCGGTATCTCTGGTCCTCTGTCGTGTCCGACCAGCCAGTAGCTCATTTCTAAAAGGAAATCATATCGAATATAAATTTCATGCATTGATAAATGCATATTGTTATTATTGAAAGAAATTCCCATTTACGTTTCAATTTCTAAATTAATATTACTAATATTTTATTTACATTAATATTTTATACCTGTGCATAAAGCCAGGGATGTTAGTTCCTTTAAACATTTGGTAACCAACGCTGTAATAAGAAGCACGTGATGCTCGGAAAGAGCTGGCGTGACGATCTTCTCCAAGAAATTCACTCTGATGCTCTTCGCCAATGTTTCCGCCACGTCCGGATGCGCTTCTCGTATCAGTTGATTGCAGTAGTCGAACCACATGAAAAACGCGGCGACTTGTCTGCACCCGGAGAACTTTTTCTCCTTCGTCCACGCCGGTGAATCTAAGCCCCATGTAACGTCTACGCCGTCGATCTCTGCTGGATCGACGTGCGCTGGAATGGCGTTGAATAAACTTTTTAATCTATTCGGTATTAATATCGCTAAGTCGCTGTGTGCTATCATTTGTGCGAACGACGAATCTTCCAACGACGCGAGAACCATTATCCCCTCGCAGGCTCTTATCCTCACAGTATTGTCCTGCGCGCAAAACATTTTTATTAGTTTTCTTTGTAGGAAAATCTTATTTTTTATACCAAATCCTACTTACCGCGGTATATATGTAACTCAACAAGGCATCCAGTAGAAGGCATTTCGATTGTTGCTGCGGCTTCGGCCTCAGCGGACTCCGATCTTCGTCCATGCAACTCGAATCCTCGTATGCACCTCCGTACTCACCGTCCAACCTGAGATCCTGAAGATTTCGCAAGTGCGTGTCTATCTCATTCATCAGAGTCACGTCTTCGGCCAGTTGCGAGTTGTCGTAGTCTCGCGAGTCAGAGGACTGCGCCGTGACACCCGAATTATTATCGCAGATAGGTATCTGAATCACCGGGCTCGAGGACTGCGAAGCGTTCTCCACCTCTCGGGAAGATACAGATCTGTTGGATTGACTAGATGATCCTCTCGTCGTCTCATTCTTGCTGGACGAACTGTTAAAATCGACGGACCGACGCGTCCTATCGTTCTCCGAATTGAACAAATTCGGGCTTATCAGGGTCACCGCTTGGGTATCCAGCGGCTCGAACAAGGGATTAAACGTGTTTCTTCTCCTAGTTGGTATGTAGGTCACTTTCTCGACTTCAACCCTCTCGGAATTCCTTCTCTCGGACGTGTTCTGTCTTTGAATACTCGGGGCGTCGTTTATGATGTTGGTCACGTGGGGATACTTGCAGACTAGAAAGCAGAGGGTGAGGAGGAACTGGACCTCTTCGGCCTCCATTGGCGAGGGTGGGTTTCCGTTGCAAAGGGCGACTAATCGTTGCACCGGGCCGTAAATCGACGTGTGATGTAACAGGGGATATTTCGATCTTCCTAGAAGTTTTCGTAAAAAGGACAGACATACTGCCCTCATTCCGGGTGGGGTCTCCGCGCTGGCTAACGTAGCCAGCAGGTCCAATAATTTGTGTTGCAACAGGTACTCCAGGCATGGTCCTGGCTCGTTTTCCTCTTTCTCCTCTTCGAGTAGTATCTCCAATAATCTGTCCAAGTGTCGCGGTATACCTGTAGTTTGTATGGGCACCTTGCAATCCGTCAAGTGGTTCACATAGAAGTTCATAAGCTGCTTCCAGTGATAAGTGAAGTCTTGTAGCGGCGTCGCTGGCGGTGCTATCTGCGGATAAGAGAAATTTATCGTTATCTTCGATCATCGCGAACAGGTAATAATGAAAACAACGATATCAGGATCGTATTACGTCGTGCACGTTGAGGAAAGACAAGTAGGATATGAAACACGGTAATTTATTGAACGTGCACATGTTAATAAGTCTCGATCAATTATTCGTCAGATGCAACTCGAAATAATTACATAAGCGACTAAATATAACGGCGTCGAGTGGAAAAAATATAGAGTGGTCGTAAAATAAACTATTAGAACATATCGATGAACATATCTAAGGGATGAGAAGGTCATCGTTTAAAATTGCAATCATAGTTACGTGAAGTATGGTTTGTCGTCAGGAACTTTGATTTACCTGTCTATTGTAAAATGTAAAATGCGTTTGACCCTGAATGACGTTGCAACAAACGGTGCTTAATGCTTTAATTTAAAACGCAGCTATAATTCACGTATCAACTATACATGTCCACTCGATGTTTCAATCAGAGACCACACACATACGTGCGTTTACTGCACGGTTACACCGGCGTTTGTATCATTTCGCCGGCGGCAAAACGAGCGCGGTTTAAATACGCCCCATGCGTAGTCTACGGGGACCCATGAGAAGGAAAGTGGTTGCTATCCGCTGATAGAGGCTTATCG